TTATGCTTACGCATTATGCGTTATGCAGAAGTGTGTGCTCCCCGCTTTATGCTGGGTCTACAATGCGACTCACGACTTTGCGACTCGGGCTACGGTCAACGTGACGCTACAAATGCTTTGGAGCGTTCTTCTTCTCCTTTTTTCTTCATTGAAAGAAAAGAGAAGAGGAATGCTTCGAAGCATTTGTAGCGTCACGTTGACCGTAGCCTCGCATTGTAGACCCAGCATTAGGGCTTAAAACACCTATTGTAGACCGGGACTAATGCTAGGCGTTAGATAGCGCTAATAGCGTCTCCCCGAACGCACCCTAGGTCTACAATGCGAGTCGTAAAGTCGTGAGTCGTAAGAATTGACCAATCACAGTCGATTATTCTCCTCAAATTCTTATGATTCACGACTTTACGACTCGCATTGTAGACCTAGCATTACATTACTTGTGACGGGATCAAAATGGGATGTTTTGATTGGTTAACTCGGGTGACACGCGCGTGACGCGCTCAAGGCCTTAGGCCTTCACACTTCACACACGAATCGACGGAAGACGTAAGACGTAAATCGTAAGGAAATGCACCAATCAGAGTCGACTATTCCCCTCTCCAAGAGGGAAGAAGAGGGGAATAGTCGACTCTGGACCCCTATTCTGTAACTCGTAACGACAGTGTCGGTATCCGTTACGTTGTCGTTGCGCAGGTATACTATATGGAAAAAAAGTTGCGCAACGACGACATAACGATACCGACACTGTCGTTAGAGTTACAGAATAGAGGTCCTGATTGGTGGATTTCCTTACGATTTACGTCTTACGTCTTCCGTCGATTCGTGTGTCCGGGGCTTCAGTCCATGGCCGCTCTCAGGTTTTTTTCTAGTTCTACCGAAAATCGAAACAGCGATCGTGAGTCGTGAGTACCGCTCTCAGGCTTCTCCCTTCTCTACGGTCGTTTGTGGATGGTTCACAGGTATTTATTATAATATGGAATATTTATGTGTAAATAATATTTATTTCGTTTATTGCTTGATTGTATCTTTTCAAGCAGAACATCATCATGCCTAAGGATTTCCAATCGTTATCAAAAGGACAAAAAGATCAATTAATTCAGATTGAATTAAATCGTTATAAAGATTCAAAATTGTTGTTACATTCAACTCCTTTAAACATATCGTCTAATTTATTAGATAAAGCGGAAATTGTTTCCATAAGTTCTGATAGTACATCCTGTGGAAGTCATACGTCACCCTCATATGTAAACGAAATAAATGAATTAAGTATAGAATCGCAGTTTGAAACACAAAATAACGAAGAGCAAGATATTGAAATAAAATATAACGTCTCTGAAGTAACAAATGTTTCTGACTGCACGAATAATATTACTTTACGGGATGATTTGCAAACATTCATTATTGATTGTAACATAGCACATGACGCTGCTAGCGATTTACTTACAATTTTGAGAAAACATGGGCATGTAGATTTGCCTAAGGATGTTCGACTTTTGTTTCAAAATCAACAATGTTGGCGGCCTCGTACAGTTAATGGTGCAAATTGCAGTAAGTACATGCATTATTTTATCTTGCCTGTACTTTTAATTATGTGTATGGTGACAAAAGAATAATGTACATATATATATATATACACACAACATACAGGGTGTCTGAAAATTATAGACAATAGCCGTACTATGCAGATTAGAGTTGAACTGAATAATGATTTATGTGTCATTTTGCTTATTTCGTAATAGATATCAAGGAACTAGTTAAACAATATAAGTAAATAATCACACGGGAAGCGGTAAGACGAACTGTCAGCATGCCTAACGAAAGGTGGTTTCTGCAGCTATAAGAAGGATATCTTGCTTCTTATAGAATCATCTAGTAACGGTAAATTTCAATTCCTAGTAAGTGGCATGTGACAAAACCACACGCCACCATTCCCATTCCTAGGAAATCCTAAAAAGCCAAACATTTTTTTTATACAAGCTGAAAGCTATCTTTTGATAGACATGTCAGAGCCTGCCCTCTATCGCTTGCCGTATGCTTATTAACTTATATTGTTTTATTAATTCCTTGATAATATTATTACAAAATTTGCAGAATAGTACGTGACTTTCCTACTCAGTTTCACCGGTTATCTGTGTACCACGGCTGTCAGAAAATTATATATATATATATATATATATATATATATATATATATATATATATATATA